TTAAACCAAATCAGACGCTATCTTAAATTGATATAATGCATTTTGTTGCATATACAAATTTGGACGTCATTCAACGAAACAGAAGTTTCCATTTGAGCTCAATGTCATAAAATATTAAATTAAAACAATTCGCTTTTTGTGGTATAAGGCAAAGCGAATCACACTGACAGCCGAAAACGTTACTTAACTGTCATTAATCTGCTTTCATATTCACCTTGACCACGTGCTCAATGTGGACTGAATTACTCAGTTTTTTAAAGTTGTATCATATTAGATGTCACTTCTAATTTCACGCTTAAATAATCTGAATTTCATTTACAACGCAGGAAATGTCGATCGTAGAACATTTATGGACGGATTTTTAGCCCAATGCACATCAGACTAATGCAACCTATCTAATAGAAGTGTTTTCCAGTTTTCTGACAATGTCAATTTTGCCTTATTTTACCCCTCACTGGAGTCGTTTTTTTCCTCTGCTGGGTGTGCGACAGCACGTGATAAGCCCCCGTTGCTCCAATTATCTCCTGACTTTCCACTAAGTCTATCAATCAATTGGAACTTCTTGTTGCAAGCCCGCCGGACTTTCTAACCCACTGTGACTTACTGATAATCAGTGTACGTAGAATTTTATATTCCAACAGATAGAAAAACATCACCAAAATTGTGCCCCATGATCAACTTTATACTACACACTTTGGATTCCTCCCAAAGTGCTACTGATTTTCCGAACAAATTTTCCAGCGGGTAAATCTTTGACCAAATCGTTTAGTGACACTCCGTCACATCATAAACCGATGTTCTAAAGTAACTTGGCTCAGCATTTCATTAGTGCTTGAAGGTTTATTTTGTTCTTCAGCTGGATAAACCCGAGTTTTTTATCACTTCAAATGTTATGAATCTATCTCCGCGGCGTTTTTAAGTTTAGCATCCTTATTTGGATGACCAGATAAGCTCACGTAAATTTCAAGCGTGAAAGGATATGAAGAGAGCTTCCAAATTGCGCAGGAAGAATCTCCGACTAATCTTGCAAAAAATGACTTGGTTTACAATTGGTTGTCTTGAGACTGGGATGTTTCGGTTCGTGCGCTGTCTACGAGACTTCTTAAATGTATGTGTGCATCTTTAAACTTTCGTTGGGGCAGTTTAGTATTCCCGTTGACTTTCCCAAGAATTATGTTGAAGAAAAATCAAGAAGAAAATACCACTCTGACGTGCACACCAGGTGTGAAACATTTGCAGACTTCCTCATGTATTCATCATCTGGCGACTTTTTGTCGAGAAAAATTACGTCCAGGCATGATGCGTTCCATTTATTTCCTAAGTTTCCTAGGCCTTTTTTACCCTCAAAACCGTCGGTATCCTTCCTGATTGCTGACTCACTTTTCTTTAATCAGAAACGTCAGCGGGCGTTTAGGAGACTGGTTGGAATTGATGCTTTGTTTTGAAATATTTTAAACACGGTTGATAGTACGCAGATATCGACTGCTTTTCAAAAGTCTTGGTTATTCTGAGGACTGGTGTACACAGTTTTTCTATTATCTGTCTTCTGTATACCAAATTAGTTGTCTGTTCCATCCAGCTCAACACTTGTGAATAGTTAGTTCGTGGTAGTCTGAGTAGATTTGCAAATTTTCAGTGGAGATTCCGTCCAGCAAGTGAAAAGCTGCCAAAATGCCTAGAGGCAGTAAAGAGCTGTTCTAACCGTATTGAAAATCACCAGAGAACCACTTGAAAGTCGTCACTCAAGAAGCCAATTGATGTGGTTGTTGTGATTGCAGGGAGGCTGGCGTTATATCTTGCTAAATGCGAGTTAATCACAATGTGGGTCGGACATTTGTAGTTGAAAGCGTAGGTCCTCAGACTATCAGGCTGGAGGTTACGAAATCTAGTCTGCCTGGAATTTAGTAAAGTGTGTACTTCTGATGTACTCCAATAAGGATCAAACAGCTATTCCATGGTTCTAGGTTTTCACCATATATTTACCCTGCATACACAACGAAGTATCCATTAGGGCGACCTGTTGCACTTAAGGTCAGTCCTCTAGCTTTCACAGGGTTTCCGTCACATAAGAATGAATCTCCGAGTTTATGTTTGTAATGTACTTCTCATAAGGTTGTTGAAAATCCGTCGACAGCCCACGACCGGTTTTGCCCTTCTTGGGGCTCATCAGGTAGGCGCAGTCCCCGGATTTCCGTCAACCTTATGTTCTACTTGAAACTGCAAGTTTTTTAAAATATCATACCCCGACTGAATAGTCGTGTATGACAGAAACAATTTTGTTCATATGTCAATCATACTTTTAGTGCCGAATATAAGGTTCTTGCATCATTTTGATAGTTTTTTTGTGAGAAACCATGTTCATGTGAAAGGCTTAGACACAAAGCGTATGAAAGAAAGGGAACAAAAATAAATACTCAATATTTCGTCCAGTCAAGATTTGTAAATGTGGGAAAACAAGTTATTCAACACTGAAATGACTGCATAAAATGAAGCCAGTGGTCTAAATCCACCAAGCTCACAAAATGAGTCCTCGTGTGTACATGGCTTAAGTAGAAAACGGTGAAGTAATAACAGCATGGTTGTCAAGAGATCAATCGCCCTGTACTCAAAGAACAATTGATAGAGCACTGCAAAAATAATGTATATAGCCTTTCAGTTTCGATCCAAGTCAAGAAGATAAAAGTGGACTTATTCGTGAGCGCATATTTTTCGTAAGCGTAAAATACACCCGAATTTAGTGTTACCTGTTACGCATTTTCCTAGATGTCCGTTACGAGTCATAGTGGTTCTGCATCTGCTTCCCGTTTTTTTCTCCCCCAAATGTAACCGTTGGTAATCAGCCTCACCAATGAACTTTCGTTTGAAATCACATAGTTTCTTGTCTTCACTTGTTTATCACCTTGCCTTTTACTACGCGAGGTCTACGTGAATTACACAAACAACTAAAGTGCATTCTACTTGTTAGATGGTTGTACTTGTTCAAGTGGTCCCTTCTTTTCTGAAAAACCCAAGGCATTTTCGGTTCGTACTTTGCACTCTCGATTGAATAGAAGACTAACGATGATCTTACACTCGAAGTTGAATTTCATCTTTTGTCCAGCATACCGCAATGCAAATTTCTGGCTTCTTTGTTGCTTGTGGATTACTTTGATAAACCTAAAATAAATGGTAGTGTTCACGAATTCACTCATTACAATTTTTATTGGTCCTGTTTCAACGTTCACTTACAGCTTAGTGAGTGTTTGACCGCATAAATTAAATTGAGAAATGACAGCTCAATATAACACTCAGATAGGGTTAGTTAAGATGGAACCTTTCGTGGAAATCTGGTACCAATTTAATACCAATACAATACCTGAGCTACCGTCATTTTCCTCTATAGAAATATGATACTGTTAACCCTTGAAGAAAATCTTTATACTCACGGAAGCGACAACTTGAGGTATTTTTGCTGTTTGCGAACAACTATCCCCCTAGAACTCTTCGTTGTTTTCTTCACAATTAACAAAAACTTCACTTCACTCGTCATATTTATAATAAAACTAAACATACAGATCTCTATTTAAAAAATACGGAAGACTTTGTGACTTTTTACATCTTTGCGTTTATTGACAAAAAAGCGTCTGAATTTTTACCTCAGAATTCTTGTCCAGAATGAAGCAAGGACCATATCACGACAAACCACGACCAAAAATAATGTAGACTCTTATGTGCGACGATCAACTTACCCGCGACTGGATGCCGAGTAGTCATTTTTCACTGTTCACTGTCACGTTTACACGTGCAGTAGACAAACTTTTGCATTCCTTTATTTGGGATGCAAGAGGTACTGCGACTATTTTTACACAAATATGCCGTGTGTTTTCGAAAAATCGGGCCACGTCTGGAAGTTTGTCTTTAAAGGGGCGAATCAGCTTGGTCCGAGGACTCGGTCATGCAAGATTTGGTTGTCACGTTCAAGTTATTATTTGGCCACGTCTTCTATCAAGCGGAATAAACGTTTTTTCCAATTTTACCAAGATCTGTCGTACAGTTCATCGTCAGAGTAGCACTTCAGACGACGTTACACTATTTTATTGCAACAAATTCAATAACTGCATTTGTCGTCATTATATTGGCATGCCCATCAGGGACCTACGTTTTATTTGTCAGTGAGTTTCACCAGACTAATGTGAATAAAATTTCGGTAATCTACTAATCTGCGGTTATTTTAAAGCTGATAAATGTCGTCTGATACAGTTAGGGATACATCAACGACTTTGAAATTCATGTAATTTTTGAATACTTACGCCCGTTTGAACATAGTTGATCATGTAAACAGTAAGGTAACTCGACGTTTCTGGGCACATACTAACCTTAAAACTTCCACCAGCATCTGTAGCATTGTTGACAGCAATTCAACTAACGCAGCCTACGCTGAATCCGTGAATTCGTGAATACGGCTGATGGATGTTTGCCCTTCGACTGCCAAAAGACGCAATCGGTGGTGGTTTGTAGGCCTCCAACAAATAAAAGTTTGCAACTGTGATGTGGACAGAATGATTTTACAAAACGAAAAGCAGGGTACTGAATCATTATTTGGCTACATTTGAGGTTTTACCTTACAAACTGGAAGTTTATAGGTGACAGATAAGTCATTTGACCACGCGGACTGACAACCTGAGAAAATGAGAGCTCTTCAAGACGTGTCCCAAATACGGTGAACTTGGCCGGCTTTCAATTTCGTAATTTGGTTAACAGCCAGAGCGTAGAGTGAAATCCTATTTTTAAGTCTCAATGTGATTGTTTTTTCAGGCGAACGGGAACAAAATATTACTCATTCTTGCCCGGCTGTTTTGCTCGTACTAAATTGTGCGAGTGTACTGCGAAAATTTTAAAAATATAAAGATCTGACTACTTTGAATGAAAAGAATCAACTACAAAAAAATTGACTTTTTAAATGTGACTTACACGGAATCGCATGAAACCTTTTTCATATACTCCCCTGTCCTTTGTTTCAGCTGCTTTCCACAGACCCTACACTCAAATGTTATGGCCAGCGGACAAAGCGGATTCCACTGAAACTGAATCTAACCAGATCCAAATAGTGAGTCCAAGAGTCGGCTTGATTGCTTTTATTTTATTTGGTAAAACTAGTGAGCTTGAATCCTGTATTTGTTTCCAAAAACGAAAAAGAACCACAAGACCTGGCTGTCCTTTCCCATTTTTTCGAGACATTTTATTGTTTATTGATTCACGCGTCTGAGGACTAAACGCTTTGTGCAACTGGCAGGATGTTGTTCAAATTACCAATGTGTGATTGGTGCCTTGGCTTTTTTCTCCTGGCGTTCAATTAAATTACAGCTGGTAGTTGTAAGTGGGTGGTCGTTGCAGTGTGCAGCAAAGGTGGGGGAAAAGTACTTCATCGTTGATTTTCTGTGGGCTAACGTGGGCTGGGAAATTCACAAACTATTAAAGTACTAGTGATCCTAAGACTTTGAAAGCCGCCCATAAGGATTTGTGGTTGTTGTCTGCTCTTTGCGACGCCGTCGCAAGTTAGGCAGATGTTTGTTGTTCAGGGAAAAAGTTAATCGATGGAACTACCAATTCAGTGCCTCCAAAATAACAGAAAAGAAAAATCCCTAGAAATATTGAATTTTGTTGAAGCCCATGGGTGCTTAAATCTCACGGGAAGGGGGGTAGACCCCCATTTATCCATCTTTGTTGGTTCAGTAGTTACAATGAAAAATATGAGCGCACAAATTCTTTTTGCTAAAATTGCGAAAACCTTTACAGAGCGCAGATATTGAGAAGACAATAAACCCATAACCAAGACTAATGTGCTCGATGTTTAGCAAGGATCGACCTAGGGGAGAAAATGTATGGGAGTGAGACAAATGCTCATGTGTTTTCTCACTATTCATCAATTTGGGACAAAAAGTTTATTCGAAAGATGAATGTGTATGTATGAAGAGATGATATAATATATCACTGCAAGCGTTTAATTCCCATCAGGAAAAATATGCTCATTCCTTGTATGGATTGCGGTGAGCTTGCTTTTGTCTACGACAAAATGATTTTAGAAATGTCACTGATGGTAGATACAAAGCGCCAATTAGACAGTTGTTTTTCAGGGTGGACAACATCTCCCACAAGGAGTGACAAGTGACAAAGTGGCGTACTTGGATAGTCAAGTGGTGGTATGGGCGATAGACGTGTGTTCATGAACACGGGCACTGGTGGTCCGACAGCTTGGTCTTTTCGTTTGTGAAAATACTGACTCTAAGAATCATGCAAAATCACCATATAAAACAAAATTCCCATGCGTGTTCGCTTATTAAAATAAATCTGTGGAGAGCAGTTAGTTTTCTGGTGGGTAGAGATAACCGTGCGTGGTCTAAGCTGTTGCCGAAACAAACCCATCAGCGTTGTGAGCGTCTTAATTAACACAACCAGATTTTGCACCTCACAGAACAGGCATAATGTCGAAGCTCAAAACTCAAGTTTATCAACTTAGAATGTAGGCTAATTAGACAAACTGGACAGCAAAATTTGGCCAGGCTTGCACCGTCACCAACTTAAGAGCCATAAAACTGATATCGAGCGAAGGCCCGTCTTGAAGTAGTCCCACGGCGTTTGTTTTCAGAAAATCTGTGACTGCCATCTTGGTCTAGGGAAAAAACTAAGGTTTTAGAGTTTTTCTAACATTGTAAATAGCGAAACAACTAGGCACCGAGGTCAACACTCTTATGCATTAAAGGAGACAGACTTCACGTTTGCGGATTAAATTCTCCTGATGACCGTACCAGATATTCACGAACTAGTATACACACAGCAAACCTACCTAGGGCACCTTCCCATGTTCGATATACTTTCAAAAAGAAAAGACTAACAATCGAATCCTTTCCTCGAGCTTTCCAATTTTTGCAAGAACCCCAAACTTAATCGCGTTTGGCATGGAGCACAGTTGCGTATTACTCTGAAGAATAGCATCGTGTTGAATCTGTTTGATGGTGTACTATAGTGTAAATATTTTAAACTTCCGACAAGATGGTCTTTTTACTCTTTTCTTAAAGCGTGTGCGATTTGAAGGGGCGTCGGGAAGCTGTAGTGAGCCAAAATGTCGAGATGCTCAAAATTAGTTTGTCATCACACTACCTCACCATGAGAGGAGCCAAAGTACGCACGGTTTTCCGTTGCCAGTTGAACCTGATAACAGCTGACCAGGAAATAGCTAAAGCGCACAGCATTCCTTTGAGTTTGCCTGCAGTCTTATAAACTAAGATGTGTCTGTCTTCGGCTACCATCTGCAAGGTGGTTTTGCTTGAATCCACTTCCTATCGTATTTAGAGGTACCTCAACCTTCGTAGTTCTGGCATTGTTCAACAATTTGCCAGGATGTTGCCACAGTCCAAGTTTGTACTATAGCCAGCTTGTCGTGCAAAACAAGATCCCTAATGTCTCTTGGCGTTCAGCTTTAAGCCACGCGCTAATGCCACTGACTAAAAGGGTTATTTGAGCCTGTCCATGTACACCTCTGTACACAACCCATAGGACGCACTCCACATAGTCCAAGCTATTTAGAATTGGTGTGCTATAATAAGAAATCACGTCGCTCCGCTCAAAACCGTCTGGTTTGTTTGCAGTTTTATTATTACTTACATTAAGTTACCATTTTCACTGGATTCACTGGACTACTATTATGCTGTAGTCCCAACACAAGTTTTATCCACTGATATTAACAGAAATTAACGTTAACAGTAAAATAACAGCTGTTGTCGCGTGGAGGCTTGTCGGCGGCCAAAAATCTCCCATTAAAAAGTTATTTTGAGCGCGAAACGCCCGCAATTTTTGGTAGTCTGGAATATTGGTAGCTCGAATATGTTATGGTGGCAAAACGTAGATAAGTCCTATGCGAATCAGGTGCCAAGCTCGGTGAACAGATCAAAAGCAACCTGATCAATTACCAATTAGCGGAATTTGAGGCACGACGGACTGTCCACTCGGTCCGGGCTTGGTTATTTTGACAATCAATTATGGGACAATTGCAATTTTATAAACGATATATTTATAATATTTTAATAACCTTTGAATCATGCGATCAACCTCAGGATCACGAAGATTGTTCAACACTTCTTAAATTTGCACCGGCTGTTGCCGAAAGTGAACTTAATGGGAACTTCTAGATTCTCGGTAATGCACTGACTGGAAGCCAGAACGATTCACTTATTTTAGGGATGTATGAAAAGCCACCATGCACCGGCCGTCAAATTAACATTTATATTTGTGTGAACATCAAAAACAAAATGCGTCTTGTATGGAGTTTGGCCCACTTAGCTCGTAAAATCTGAACAAATGACGAACAGAGTGCAGTGGTGCAAGTCATCAGGACAATTTTATTTCCAACTGTTGTTCAGAGTAATTTACAATGAGATGTTTGACCCCATATCAAGTAGTAAAGGGAAGAGGCCCAACAGTCGCGAAAAGCCCGTATACATTCGGCTACCGTTTGAGTGGCAGCCTCAGAAAAGCTAACCAGTTGCCTGACTGTCTTCTTGAGGCGAATGTTCAATGCAGAAGAGCAGGGAGCATAAATCAACAGTAGTCCATCGCTCAATAGTAATGTTAGGGAAATATCGCAGGACCGTGATCCCCACCCTCGTCATTCACTTGTTCACGAGACTATGTGTGTCGAATTATGTGGCGCTTATCTCAGAAAATAAGGGAGCACCTGTTGATGTGCCGAAGAAGTGGTGCAAGCTACTGCTACTGCCTGATCAGCGTAGGCCACCAGGCCAACCCACCTCACAGTCATTCGGAGTAATCTACCAAGTGCCAGAAAATCCTTCAACGGCTAATCGCTAGCGGATGCTTGAAATAGCTGTAGCGGCAGCCTTTCGGGTGAACGAGCTCTCTTTTGACAGCAAAGAGATAAATAAAAGCTCTGACATGGAATCAACAGACCAGTCAGACATCCTCATCATTAAGCGGGTGGTTTTATCTTTTATATTAGCAGCACAAATCACTATTTAGTATTTTAACCCAGACTTTTTATTTTGTTGTATACTCACATGGTAGGAGGCCAAAGAATACCAGCGTCCACAAACCGGTGTATTTACACAGTGTACTGCAAGCTGAAATTCAAAAACCACTTCTTTTCATAGTGGTCATCCACCCGTACACGTTCCTCCGAATAAAAAGGTTTCAGGATTTCTACGTGAATTAAAGCTGATTAAATTAAAAGAGGTGGAAGTAAATCTCCGAAAAAGCCTGTTTATTAACAAACCTTATGAAATAGCCAAATCAGGTGCTGATGTGTGCTGCTCGAAGAAGGATGAACGCTGAAGTAAACTAAACAACTCTGCTCGACCTGAAGGAGTATGCCAAACAAACAACAGGTTTGTCTAGAATGAGCTGTAAAAGACGAACCCCGGGCTTGTGATCAATTAGACGGATGCACGCATTGGATTTAATTAGGGAGTGGTTCTTAACATTAAATCCAGGCAAGTTTTGCTATCGAAAATAGCCCTGGGATACTACCATTCCGATGTTTTTAACAGCTGCAAGTTATGATATACGAGTACGGTCACTAATGTCAGCTATAAAGTCAGGTAACCCGTTGATGGCTGGTTGAAAACAGTATAACTGGAAAGAAGGAAGTTGAAAAACAATATAACTAATAAGGTATTAATGTTCCTTGCTCTAAAATAGATTTATCTCTTTGCAACCGGAAATTTGCTACATAGTCGTTCTCAAATCTGGGTAGGCCAGACGCTAACCGGAATGTGTGAGTTTAGAATTTACTGAGTTTGGAGCCGTATGTTTCTCACGGTTCCCAACCGGCAAGAAACACTTGCACGGAACCTCTTGGAATTTTGACACCGCGCATGATGAATTGTCTAATATTTACGCTAGATAAAAACAAATACACCACTGTGACCTTTCGTTCTGTGGCCGAAATATTAACCATGTGTTGCATTCAGTGACATTTTGGGCAGCATGACGGATCATTATCCATTGAAAGCCAGATTAGCCAGCAGAGGTAAACATACACACAAAACAAGTCATTGTGCACTCAAAAACGTACACATTCTGATTGCTGTGACCCACAGGCACGCTGAGAAGTACGTCGATTAGACTGTCTGATAAGTGGCCAAAAAAGTTACTGACCCTCATCTGTATCCAACTGACAGCACCTACAGTGATCGGTTCATCACACCTCCTGCCACTTGAATATACTTTGCCGTCAGCTTTCCCCAAACCGGATCAGTCATTTCAAAATAGTTCAGAAAGATAGCTGAGGAAGTGGAAGGGCTGTCTATCTTAGAGAAATACCTACTACGTACAAGCTGACATATACAAACCTTTTTCTTTTAAAAAAATGACCATGTAACATGTTCAGTTAGGAGCTTGTTAGGAAACCACTCTATTACAAAATATAGTGATTTGTCTACACATTGTGGCATTTTCACTCGTCCGGAAACCAAAGCAAGATAAACTCTTCTACTCCATACGCTCTAATGAAACAATGGGGGAACAATGGAGCAATCCGAATAAACATGGACAGCTCTACTAGTTTGCGATGCTTTTTCGAACAGTCGATTTTTGTTCCACTTATTTGTACTTCTGAGTCTCTAGTAGATCATTAGAAATGATCCAGAGTGATCCCAGGTTAACTCCATTCAAAGAGCAAGAGACAAAGACGGTAGATCAGAGGTCGTGAACAAACCAACCAAGTTGCAGATGAGGTTACTTACAGGGAGGCAGTCACGTTAGGAATTGAATACACAATTTAAAGGTGGAAGCATGGAAGAGACTATTCAGGCATATATAGAATTACTTTGCTTGGCGATGAAACTCTTGCCAAGCTTGACCAAGAGAACAACAGCCAAGTGGTAAAATACCAGCAAGCGTACTAGAGCAATCACTATTCTGATACATGACCACATTTATGCTCACAAGCAGACTACAGCTTTGCGGTGCTAGAAAGATTGACAGTTGCCTACTTTAAGTGATATTTAAGTTACAAATTTAAGCAGCTGCGTTGATGTGAGGTGAAGTTAGCAATAAGTAACCCCAGTCCAACTACTTGATGCAGACTAGTGCTTCTATTTGCAGTGCCCTTTGGCGACTATCAGACAGGGCTTGTAACTCTTTAATCCAGAAAAATTCGTTTCCTTAATCACCTAGCAGATCACTCTTCCGCGCTGCTATCATCTGCGTTGAAAGCGAAGTCATTACAGAGGAGAAATGACTAGACAGATTTTCGGGGCTGTAGTCGAGTGTAATGCACCTCTTCACAAGATTATACACACACATACGGCTGTACAACTAAGTGACCGATAGGAAAGTAACCCTAAATTTTCGTGCGACATTTTCATCAAAGTATTCAAAGACACGGCAGTTGGGTTCTTTAGCCAATTTTTCGTCATCAATATTTTGTCCGTCTCTGAAAAGGCATTTCCAAATTTTAACGGATTTTTTTTTAAATTCGTCCACTCGGTTAAAAATAAACCAGAAGATGTCTTGCTTAATGTACTCTAATGAACATTATAAATCTTCAATGACCTTTCAGGAAATGTCGCATTCCCATGCCATTTTCTTTTAGTCTTTCAACGGAGAGAAAGCGAATGCTAACAATCTGGATTACATACAGAAAGCATCCGTGCCACTTGGTCTGCCTACCTACACAAAAACAAAAGCCGATTGGAAAGTAGGTGATTATGGATCGCTAACACTTCCCATCCATGTAAAAATAATCGGTTTAACAAAACAGGGATGCGATCTTTTGATGGCATTTGCAATTAATAAAACAAGCCCTGTGGGTGCGAGCGTTTGGGCATTACAAAATGATCTCAGTGAGTTGATCTAGCAGCTTACATTGGCAACACTGCATCCCATAATTAAGCCGATTCACTTTGACTTGACTATTTGGGGTGCAGGCTGCACACTGTTGAAGGTACCTCAGTTAAACAAACTGGAAAATGGACTGTAGTTAAACTAGTCTTGATCCTTGATTGTGGCAAAACATCTGGCTTCTTCAACAGTTATAATAACAGTTTACCTGATTGAACACATGTTTTGACCCACCGGAGGTAAACTGTCACAGCCAAGAGATTTTAATCTGTGCTCAGTAAGTCGATCCAACATATACTAATGTGTTTCCTGGTTGTTCTAACCGGTCTGAAATACAATCTAGGGTGTAGTATACCAGAAGAACAGCTAAACAACGTTGTGCTCCTGCTCAAGGTGTTGAAAATGAGGATGTTCTTATAATGTATAGTAAACCAACGCTCATCTGGAATCGTTAAATACTGAGGATAGCCCGCGCGTCTGGTGTCAGTTTCTCCTTTGTAGGTAAGGAAGAATTCTGGTAGTTGTCCGTAAACGCACCACATCTTGCCCTTGATGTTTGCTAATGTACTGTCCAGATGGCGTTTGTGGTATGTTAGATTTGAAATGAAACAACAATCTACTCTCCACTCTTTACTACGTGAGAACAGAGGCAAAAATTTCCCGGTGGTCACAATATCTTAGATCTGGCAGAGTTTTTCCGCAAGGGACGTGGTTCAAACTTCCAACTTATTGTGATTATTGGTGACTCAAGTCGTAATGCTGAGCACTGGTTTGTTTTCCAAGCTGGGTGCTTTGTTTGTAAGCGTTTCACCATCTATCAATGTGAAATCATCAGTGTGTATTAGGTGGTAGCGCACTGGGGTTGGAAGTGTGAAAGCGTTACGCCTATGTGGGCCGATTTGGTGTTGGCTCCCCCAGGTCAACCCCGATGGATCAGATCATTTGGATAAGCATTCCTATCGACATTTCGGCTGACCTGTTTTCTTAATGGTGTCTGTTCGGGTCTCCTTGAAACTTCATGTCTCTCGTTCTCGTGCTCAGATTCAGAGAGTACAAACTCACATTGATCTCCGAACGAACGAATGAACGAACATGTATACCTCCGAGGCCAGAGTAAGATTGTAAACGAAAAGCAGACAAGTCTTCATCGTAGCGATTCACCATATCCATCGACTGACCAACAAGTTTCCGCCGCTTGTCTCAATAGTGAACTTACTTCAGTGTTCATTATTCTGATAGCTAATCAAACTTCATGTTTTCTGATGGTCATCAAGACACTCGCTACAAGCTTGCCAAAGCTACCTTTGTGATTTCAAAACTAACTCATCTCAACCTTCAAACAACCTTGAACGTAAGACTGTGTTGTGTAAAACCACGTGACGGATATATTTGATGTTTTGGACATTCGTGTGTTACTACCAAAATACGCAAAACTTAACTACTTCTCAATCTTTATATAACATTTATTAACAAAACCTGTGTGGCTGTAAAGAAACCTTCCTCTTCCGACTGGTCCTCTATGTTCCCGTACACTATCAAACGTATGATACTGCACAATAATGAATATTTTTACCGGAAAACTCTTAAATACAATCATAAATGACATTTTTTTCAAAAAAATATGGTTTGTAGAATACACTTTTGGTAAGTTTCTCCATCGTCGGGCACTTACACTCTCAAACGTGAAGGATAATTACTCACAAAGGATTTGCTTGTAGACCACTTGGCTATATATTAGAAACAGATAAGTTATGAGAATAGAATTTATCAGTAAAATGGTACTTTCTTACTTCGATCCAAACGAACGAGTGTCGATCAAGTCGCTACTTGAGGCAAGCGACAATATTTCTTGCCTGATGCCTAGAAATAATTACTTTTGAATTGCCAAAGGATCTTATTTGGACAAGGATTGAAGTGTGCTCTTAGTGACAGTTGGCCATCGATAAAGACATCTTTAATTTAATACATGAGAGTCCGTTCAGTAAGTAATCACCACCGCCAATCGATCGTTGAAAAGAAGCTTAGCTTGGTTCGTGGAGCCTATGCTAAATATAGTAGTCTGTGGAGTTCACCTGGTGCTCAATTAAGATTTTCTACCACGCGCACCTTGTTTCTTTATGAAAACCGTTGATGTGTATGGTAGTAAAAATGGATTGAACCTTATAATAAATTCATGAACTAACTTGAGCGGTCTTGAAATGGTAATGTTCCCAAGGGCTGAACCG